GTTTATTAAGCCGTTATCTCCCAGAGACGTTATCATGGGCTGTGGGAGCGCCCCGACCAGACATTGTCAGAGGGAGGAGCGCCCTCGACTAGGCAATCTGTGCTAAGCACGATTTAAGCCAGTTCATAGTGATTGCTTGTAGTTGGTCGTGTGCCCAGCGACAGTAGCAATGTTTATTGATAAGTTAGACATGTTTTGATAAGGCAGAAGGCCTAAAGTAAGAAAGTGGAGAGGAAGGAACACGGAGCGACATCCGTCCCCTCTAAGCGCTGGCAGGTGACTGAGGGGAGGACCCTCCCAGAGTGAGTGAGGACCGCCGGGCGAGGGGGAGCATGGACCTGCCCAAAAACGGGGGAGTCCACTCTCACAGTGTGTAGAGAGCAGATAGATGTTGGAGGCAAACATATTGTGTGGTTATTTTTGTTTGTGTGTTTAAAGGGGAAATATTTTTATTGGAGTGTCAATGGGTTGCAGGTTTGTCTTTGGGGAAGAAGTTGCTGAGAACTTCGAAGCCAGCACAGAGGGAGTAGTTAATGAGACTCCAAGTTAGTGGAGGAGAGGACCTCGAGCTGTGAGGAGAAGCAGTGAAGAGGAGTATCACGTGCTTCTGTAGAAGTGGTGAAACACCATAGTTGCTCGAGGAAACTTCATGATGTAGCAGCCAGGAGAGCTGTGGAGGACCCTAGTAGAAGTGGCAAAGCACCATAGTTGCCCAAGGAAAACTTCATGGTAGCAGCCAAGAAGTGCTGCAGAGTACTGGTAGTTAAGCCCGGAAGAACCTGAGGATATCAGGGTAGTGAACTTCCAGATGTGGAAGGGGAGTTCTAAATGATTACTTGTAGGGAGGTGATAAAGTGTTTTTTCATTAGCGTGCAAGATGCAGTGAGAGGTGAGTGATTGTTTGCCATTTTTGTACCAAGGAGTGTTTATTCTGAAGCATAGAGTTACAGTCGTAGGTTGGATTACCTACAGATGTATGTGTTCTAGGACTGATAGGGTGATCGATGGATCATTGTTATGTATCAAGGAACATTTATACTGATATATATATGTTATCGCATTCATACGCTGATTTTCCTTGTACATGTTTATGGATATATATATTCTCTTGCTGATAGTGCTACATTGTATTATAAGACTTGACCTACTTGAGGAAGTTGGTAATATTAGGTGGTGAATCAGGAGATAGAATACCACTTGATAAGCTGATGATAGAGTTCTGATGGCGTTGGTGCGCAACCTGACTGAAATAGTATAGAGTGTAGGATTCATTATTATTATATGTGTGTATGTATTGTGTATGTGCTTTGTTCAGTAAATGTATTCAAATTTGCTGGTGTTTGCCCTTGTCCTAGTGAGGCTTCCCAGGAAATAGTAAAGAAAGAAAGAGAGAGAGAGAGAGAGAGAGAGAGAGAGAGAGAGAGAGAGAGAGAGAGAGAGAGAGAGAGAGAGAGAGAGAGAGAGAGAGAGAGAGAGAGAGAGAGAGAGAGAGAGAGAGAGAGAGAGAAAGAGAGAGAGAGAGAGAGAGAGAGAGAGAGAGAGAGAGAGAGAGAGAGAGAGAGAGAGAGAGAGAGAGAGAGAGAGAGAGAGAGAGAGAGAGAGAGAGAGAGAGAGAGAGAGAGAGAGAGAGAGAGAGAGAGAGAGAGAGAGAGAGAGAGAGAGAGAGAGAGAGAGAGAGAGAGAGAGAGAGAGAGAGAGAGAGAGAGAGAGAGAGAGAGAGAGAGAGAGAGAGAGAGAGAGAGAGAGAGAGAGAGAGAGAGAGAGAGAGAGAGAGAGAGAGAGAGAGAGAGAGAGAGAGAGAGAACCAAGAACCACCGCCATGGACAGGGTAGGATGGAAAACTAGTAAGTCAAAGGGGATTGAGGAGATCATATTACATAAGGAGAGAGTGGGGAGTCCCAGCGGCTCGAGTGGGTGTGTGCACGAGACAACGAGGCTGAGTGTTGGAGCCGCATCCCCTAAACGTGTGACGTTGAGCCCCTCTCCAAGAGCCAGAAGCGCCTAGTGTGATCTCCTAGAGAAGTATAAGCACTCTACCAGGTTGTGGGTTGGGCTGTCAAGAAAGGAGGATCAACAACACGACGACAACACCACCAACCCACCGCACTATAATATACTCTAGCATCACCTTGGCGATGGCTCAACATGGGAAGCGACAGTTACCGGTGATAAGCCTACCACTCAATTGGCGTAGAGTGAGGCGCCAGGGATTGCTTCCGTCGGTGGGAGAACTCATCAGATTTCACAGGACAGCTACCACCCGCCTCAAGCTGGGCAGCCCTCAGCCAATAAGGTGCTGTCCCGCCATGGTTCGCCTGCTCCACTGGGTGCGTGGGGCTTAGGCCACAATCCAATAAGCGTATCGTCAACTATGCACCAAGCAAAAGAATCACAGAGCCACCCAGCTCTCAAACTGGGCACATGGAATATAAGAACCATGACACCGGATCTCTCGGAAGATCTACTGGAAGTGAACGACGCCCGCAAGACAGCTGTGATCAACAGTGAACTACGCAGACTTTAGATGGACATAGTCGCCCTGCAGGAGACACGTCTGCTCGGCAGCATACGGGAGAAGTACTTTGCCTTCTTCTGGCAGGGCAAACCCCCAGAAGAGGTAAGGGAGCACGGCGTTGGCTTTGCCATCAGGAACAGGTTGGACGGTCCATAGTACCGTCCACGGAGGGGTCTGCAAGGATCATCAAACTTCAGTCTCATACAGCAGCAGGAATGGTCAGCCTCATCAATGCCTATGCACCAACACTGACCTCCTCTACCGAAGTGAAGGACGAGTTCTTCTAGACCTCGGCCTAACTCTCAGAGACATACCTCAACAAGAGCCAGTCTTCCTCCTGGGAGATTCTAATGCAAGAGTTGGTTCTGATCACAGCTCTTGGCCTTCCTGCCTGGGCCAGTTTGGATTTGGGAAGATGAATGAGAGTGGGCAACGCCTTCTGGAGTTCTGCTGCCGTCATGATCTCTGCATCACCAATTCGTTCCTCGACACCAAACCCCAGCATAAGGTTTCTTGGAGACACCCTAGGTTTAGACCTAGGGTCTAAACATTGGCACCAACTCGACCTGGTGCTTACAGGGCGTAGCAATCTGAGAAACGTCAAACTGACCCACATCTTCCAAAGCGCAGATTGTGACACCGACCACTCTCTCGTCGTTTGCAGAGTAAAGTTCCAGCCCCGGAAAATCCACAGAGCAAAGAAGGAGAGAAAACAGTGAATTCACTTTCCTCAGGGAAGGCCCCAAGAGACAACGGGATTCCACCTGAAGTTCTCAAGTGCGCTCGTGGAACACTTTAAACTGAGCTTCATGAACTTCTGTGCCAGTGCTGGAGGGAGGGCTCGGTGCCACAAGACATGAGAGATGCAAACATCATCACTCTCTACAAAAATAAAGGTGACAGAAGTGATGTCAACATCTATCGTGGCATCTCTTTACTCAGCGTCGTCTGCAAACTCTTCGCCAGGGTCGTCTTGGTCAGGCTTCAGATTCTTCCCGAAAGAGTTTACCCTGAGTAACAGTGTGGTTTCCGAGCAGAGAGGTCGACCACTGACATGGTGTTTTCCATGAGACAGCTTCAAGAAAAGTGCAGGGAGCAGAGAAAAGCCTTTTACATCGCCTTCATTGACCCTACAAAGGCCTTCGACCTTGTGAGCATAGACGGACTCTTCAAGATCTTGGCCAAAATTGGCTGCCCACCCACCTTACTTAGCATGATACAATCGTTACACAGGGACATGAAGGAGACAGTCGTATACGACGGCTCAACTTCTGAACCATTCAACATCAACAGTGGTGTTAAACAGGGGTGTGTTCTTGTGCCAACCCTATTCGACATCTTCTTGCGATCCTCGTCAAGCATGCCTTTGGAACAACCACAGAGGGCATCTATCTCCGTACAAGATCTGATGGAAAGCTCTATAATCTATCAAGACTCCGAGCAAAGACAAAAGTACAGATGCGAATCCTCTGGGAATCCTCTTCGCCGACGACGCACCGATCACCACACACACAGCAGCAGCTACTCAACCGCTTTGCCGCAGCCTGTTCCAGATTCGTCCTGATAATCAGTCTGAAGAAGACACAGGTGATGGGACAAGACGTCAATGAGCTACCCTGTGTAAACATCGCAGACTATGTGCTGGAGGCAGTTCACGAGTTTGTGTACCTGGGGTCCACAATCTCAGACATCCTTTCCCTGGACACTGAGCTCAACAAGCGTATCGTGAAGGCCGCAACAACACTGGCCAGGCTCACAAAGTGCGTTTGGGAAAATGCCAAACTGACAGTGCACACCAAGGCACAAGTCTACATGGCATGTGTGGTGAGTACACTTCTCTACGGCTCGGAATTCTGGACCCTGCGCACTCGCCAGGAGAGATGGCTCAATACCTTTCACAAGACGCATCCTTGACATCACATGGAAAGACCACGTCACCAACAACACAGTACTCGAGAGAACAGGAGTCCCTTCAATGTTCACTCCTCTGAAGCAGAGATGCATGCGATGGCTGGGACATGTCACACACATGGATTATGGCCGTATACCGAAGGACCTCTTGTATGGAGAACTGGCATCAGGAAGGAGACCCACCGGAAGACCTCATCTGCGTTTCAAAGATGTGTGCAAACGCGACCTCAAGCAGATGAACATCGACATCAACACTTGGGAGGCAGCAGCTGCGGACAGATCTACCTGGAGATGCAAAGTGCAGAAGGGACTCCAGTAATTCGAGGATTAACTGAAGAGGCAGGCGGAGGATAATAGACTTCAGAGGAGGTCTCGATCACTGTCAGACGCACCCGCTTCGGCGTTTATCTGCACTCGCTGTAGTTGGGACTGTCATTCTTGGGTTGGCCTTCACAGCCACAGCAGGCGCTGCATCCAACTAGACACCCAGGACACAACTCTATAATCCTACAGTATTGACGGTTGCCTACTACTATTACTGTCCGAGTGTATGTGATGCATCGCAAATACGTACCTATCCAGTATTCCCGGTGCGGATTACCAAACCCGGTCTTGTAGTCCTCCCACAAGCGAGCGAAGTTTTCTTGGACCATCTGAGGCCCTCGAGCTAACATGATCACCCAGCCGCCGCCCTCCGTTGTCATGTCACACCACACAGTCACTGGCTGGCAGCAGCTGGCAAATGAAGTCAGTCTGATCACATGATGAAATAACACCCTGGCGGATATAGTGGTGACATGGGCATGTAATAATATGTTAGTGACATGGTCATCTGATAATACGATATTGACATGGGCATCTGAAAATATTTTATTGACATGGGCATCTGATAATATGGTAGTGACATGGACATCTGATAATATGGTGGTGACATGGGCATCTGAAAATATGTTATTGACTTGGGCATCTGATAATTTGTTATTGACATGTGCATCTGATAATATGGTGGTGACATGTGCATCTGATAATATGTTATTGACATGGGAATCTGAAAATATGGTGGTGACATGGACGTCTGATGACATGTTATTAACATGGGCATCTGATAATATGGGGGTGATATGGACCTCCGATAATAAGTTATTGACATAGGCATCTGATAATATGGTGGTGACATGGGCATTTGATAATATGTTATTGGCATGGGTATCTGATAATATGTTATTGACATCGGCATCTGATGGAATGATAGTGACTTGGAATTAGAGTTGAGGAATCCACATTGCCTTGGGTGTGTAAAGGGCTCTATACAATTGAGAAATGGAGTGTATTTCCTTGCTTTATGCACTCATGTGCATGGTCCTTAACTGCCTCTCCATGCAGCTAGCCTTTGTTGTGCTTACTATCAATGTATAGAGCATGACAGGAGCAGTCCACAGTTCAACATTACTACGAGGGCCTTTGCACGTTGATTGTGCATTGTGCTGCAGTCATTAGAAGATCAGCTGTCTGAATACACAGTATACAGCTTTGGAGCAGAGCATGAGGAGTCCAGAAGTAGTTTGGTGCAGTGTAGAGAGTTGTCTTACCGCTTATGTCTCTCTCTGGAGACTGCCTGAGGGTACAACCGAGGTCAGAGCCACGTGATGTGAGATCACGTTGACTCCTTCCTAGCTTCTGGAATTAATTAATTGTCAGGGGAAAACGCCAAGCCATTAAAACTTTATAGCACTGGGAAGGGGTCAGGATAAGGATTTGGTATGGGACGGGGAAAGGAATGGTGCCCAACCACCTTGAAGGCTGGGAATTGAACGCCGATCTGCATGAAGCGAGTCCGTCGCTCTACCGTCCAGTCAAAGTGGCTGTATATTCTTCTGGAAGATTCTGGCTTTTTTCCTCATGAAAATAAGAAGCTGCTCTGTGGTTGACTCATTATAAGAGCTGTCACACTATTGGATTAGGTATCTCTGGCTGTTACACAAAGGAACAAGCCCGACACTCTGCTGTTGTTACTGCCTTCGTTATTCTGTGTCGTGAGTTTATGTGGTAGAAACGATCCTTGATTTGGCCAAATCAAACGTCTCTGATTCAAAATTAAAGTCTCTATCATTCATTTGTGTTTAACCAGTTTGGGCTAAAAACAGATTCCCCAGACTGCTCAACTCGTTATAATTACTAAAAAAGGAACTTTGTTCTAGTGTGGACCTAGCATAACCGATCCCACGTGATTCATGTGTAACAGAATGTTGAATCGCTATAAATTAGTGGAATCCTATACACTTCACCTTAGTGTTTCACTTAACTCTCCATATTTACGCGGAAATCGTGTAAAAAGATCAGTGTTATCGTAAATATATCAGACTTATGTATACATGGACTTTGGGGTGATACACATGACTGTGTATCACCATGCATGTGTATAACCACTCACATGACCGTGTATCACCATGCACGTGTGTAACCACTCACATGACTGTGTATCACCATGCATGTGTATAACCATTCACATGACTGTGTATCACCATGCATGTGTAAAACCACTCACATGACTGTGTATCACCATGCACGTTTGTAACCACTCACATGACTGTGTATCACCATGCATGTGTATAACCACTCACATGACTGTGTATCACCATGCACGTGTGTAACCACTCACATGACTGTGTATCTCCATGCACGTGTGTAACCACTCACATGACCGTGTATCACCATGCACGTGTGTAACCACTCACATGACCGTGTATCACCATGCACGTGTGTAACAACTCACATGACTGTGTATCACCATGCACGTATGTAACCACTCACATGACCGTGTATCACCATGCACGTGTGTAACCACTCACATGACCGTGTATCACCATGCACGTGTGTAACAACTCTCACTGTAATTGCACTATTGTGTCTCTTTCTAAAGCCTCATATCCAGAGTGTGTGTAGGTTGTATTGCATTATACATCCAGAGTGTGTGTAGGTTGTATTGCAACACATATCCAGTGTGTGTAGGCTGTATTGCAACACATATCCAGTGTGTGTAGGCTGTATTGCAACACATATCCAGTGTGTGTAGGCTGTATTGCAACACATATCCAGTGTGTGTAGGCTGTATTGCAACACATATCCAGTGTGTGTAGGCTGTATTGCAACACATATCCAGTGTGTGTAGGCTGTATTGCAACACATATCCAGTGTGTGTAGGCTGTATTGCAACACATATCCAGTGTGTGTAGGCTGTATTGCAACACATATCCAGTGTGTGTAGGCTGTATTGCAACACATATCCAGTGTGTGTAGGCTGTATTGCAACACATCACCAGTAGCCAGCAAAAATCGCCTGGTGCGTCTTCTGTGTGGTGAACTCATCGCCTGGAGCTAATCATCGTTGTCCCATTGTTCCACTAGGTGTGAATGGATAGAGTGAGTGGAAGAACCGGCTAATTATGTGTGAAATTGTCACTTCTTCATGTTTCCTCGCTAACCAGGTCGATTGTCGATTCTTAGGAATCGACCGCCTGGTTAGAGAGACTTCATATTTGTTTGAAACGAATGGGAGTCTGCTAGCCAAGGTAACGTTTTACTCTGACAGGTTGTCAGCCTGTGTGGTAACGCCAGTCATCTCCGTTGTGCCTTATTATAGGATCACACATTTAGGGTCATTTGTGACCACTGTGTTAAATGTCAATATATTAGTTGAGTGTTAAGTAATTATTTCACATCAGATACTTAGTGACTCGATTTGTACTAAGTATTTAATTTACTGTCTCAGCTCAAACCAGAGCATTTTATACACAGTAAGTACATGATCAGTACACCAGCTATATAACAATAATTATGTCTTAGTGACCAATAAATGCCATTTCTTACTGTGCCATCTTTAGCAAATATTGTAATATATATATATATATATATATATATATATATATATATATATATATATATATATATATATATATATATATATATATATATATATATATATATATATATATATATATATATATATTGGCGTATACTGACAGCAGGTTTTCATATAGACATGTTTCATTGAATAAAACTATAAATTATATATATATATATATATATATATATATATATATATATATATATATATATATATATATTATTAAATATGACCGAAAAAGTAAGATTAATAATTCTAACACGAATTTTCTCAATCTTTCGTACATTTCTTTTCACTGTTGGAGGTAAATCAAAAATCAATTCTCCAAAATTCATTTTTATTTCTAGTCTGACGCGACACGAGCGCGTTTCGTAAAACTTATTACATTTTCAAAGACTTTAGTTCACAAATACACAACTGAATAGAACTTACGCATCTCCGATTTTATATCTACATTTGAGTGAGGTGGAAGGGGTGATGTGGCATTAACACAAGACAGAACAAGAGGTGGCATTAATAGGGTATTAATTTCATCAACACAAGACAGAACAAGAGGTGGCATTAATAGGGGATTAATTTCATCAACACAAGACAGAACACGAAACAATGGGTATTGAATAGAAGTGTTTGTAGAAAGCCTATTGGTCCATATTTCTTGATGCTTCTATATTGGAGCGGAGTCTTGAGGTGGGTAGAATATAGTTGTGCAATAATTGGCTGTTGATTGCTGGTGTTGACTTCTTGATGTGTAATTTTTGATTTACCTCCAACAGTGAAAAGAAATGTACGAAAGATTTAGAAAATTCGTGTTAGAATTATTAATCTTACTTTTTCGGTCATATTTAATTATATATGTCTACAGGAAAGACGTTGACTCCTTCCTAGCTCCTTCTTGACTCCTTCCTGTGATCTCAACGAGATCACGTTGACTCCTTCCTAGCTTCTGGAATTAATTAATTGTCAGGGGAAAACGCCAAGCCATTACAACTTTATAGCACTGGGAAGGGGTCAGGATAAGGATTTGGTATGGGACGGGGAAAGGAATGGTGCCCAACCACCTTGAAGGCTGGGAATTGAACGCCGATCTGCATGAAGCGAGTCCGTCGCTCTACCGTCCAGTCAAAGTGGCTGTATATTCTTCTGGAAGATTCTGGCTTTTTTCCTCATGAAAATAAGAAGCTGCTCTGTGGTTGACTCATTATAAGAGCTGTCACACTATTGGATTAGGTATCTCTGGCTGTTACACAAAGGAACAAGCCCGACACTCTGCTGTTGTTACTGCCTTCGTTATTCTGTGTCGTGAGTTTATGTAGTAGAAACGATCCTTGATTTGGCCAAATCAAACGTCTCTGATTCAAAATTAAAGTCTCTATCATTCATTTGTGTTTAACCAGTTTGGGCTAAAAACAGATTCCCCAGACTGCTCAACTCGTTATAATTACTAAAAAAGGAACTTTGTTCTAGTGTGGACCTAGCATAACCGATCCCACGTGATTCATGTGTAACAGAATGTTGAATCGCTATAAATTAGTGGAATCCTATACACTTCACCTTAGTGTTTCACTTAACTCTCCATATTTACGCGGAAATCGTGTAAAAAGATCAGTGTTATCGTAAATATATCAGACTTATGTATACATGGACTTTGGGGTGATACACATGACTGTGTATCACCATGCATGTGTATAACCACTCACATGACCGTGTATCACCATGCACGTGTGTAACCACTCACATGACTGTGTATCACCATGCATGTGTATAACCATTCACATGACTGTGTATCACCATGCATGTGTAAAACCACTCACATGACTGTGTATCACCATGC